TTGCTGTATGCGGGCCTCTCACTGCTGTGGCCTCTCCCATTGCGGAGCACAGACTCCGGACGCGCAGGCTCAGCGGCCATGGCTCACGGGCCCAGCCGCTCCGCGGCATGTGGGATCTTCCCAGACCGGGGCACGAACCCGTGTCCCCTGCATCGGCAGGCAGACTCTCAACCACTGCGCCACCAGGGAAGCCCCACCACTAGTATATTTTTATTCTTTCTGAGAATTTCATTCTCAACAATACAGATTGCGGGGAAGAGAAGAATACATCGGCAGCTCTCATTTAGAGGGCTCTACACAAAAGCTCTTAGGAGCCACACCTGCCTCAAGCTGTCACAATCAGCAGGGGGTGGAGGGCAGTGCAGGGAAGGGGCAGCAGCCTGCCCCACATGAGACGCCCCCGTATATTGTTTCCATGACTCTGGAATTTTAACACCATAACACTGCAGCACTTTCTAGGATCCCATTCCAATAAAGGTATATATACCACAGTGAGGAATTAAATGAGAGAAGAAAACCAAGAAACATCCTGAAGGAATGTAATGGAAGGTGTAAGGTGCTCAACACTACCCAAGTGTAGGGTTCATCGGTATCCTGCCAAGAAAATGTCAGCTGATGATTTTGAAAATGTAGTTTCAACTTAACTCATCATGACGCACTCTAGTAAATCAGCTCCCTCTTGTTCTATCTAATTTAATATCATCTATTCGAGTGCGCAAGACAGAGATCTAAGGATCGTATGTGACCCTTTCTACCCCCTCGTCCCCAGGTCCGATCACTACAAAGTCCTGTCAGCTTTATCTTCTTTGGTTTCCACATTTCTCAGGACCCTCCGTCCCCTCTACACCACACAGTGTAAGCTTTGGAGTCCCAGTAACACACATGTATTTGAATTCTGTTCCACCAAGCACTGAGTGACCTTGGACAAGTTTAAATTCTCTAAGTCTCAGATTCCTCATTTATTCTGAACTGCAGATGTCAGCTACTTTGAAGGGATATTGTGAAAAGTAAGTGAGATGGTGTTTTACTGTATTCGGTGAGCACCTAGAACACAGTACACAAAAGAGCAGCCGCTATCATTGTCGTTAACCGACAGTTTCCCAATTGCCACCCACCACCACCACCTCCTCCTTGGGCTCCCTCCCTCTAGCCTTGCCTCTCAAATTCTCCTTCATACAGCCAATGAGTGTTCTGTGTCCATGCCAGTAACACCTCCCGTCCCTCTCTCTGCTTGCCTAGCTTACTCATTGGCATCCTTTTAGGACTCAGCTTCTCTGTCTTCTCCAAGCACCTGCTCCTACCTAGCTAAGTTGGGTGCCTCTCAATGCTGCCACATACCTTCAATTATCTTTACCACTAGACTTGCTTAGCACATACTAAGCTCTCGGTGTGCTGAATACTCAGATGCTTTTGAATTATTTAGGAGAACGATGAGTTTTACTTTGTGTATCCTCTTGCATTTGGAAATGCTGAGAGAAATTCCTCCCTGAAGTAGAGAAGTATCTATACTTTTAGTATAACAGAGGTTGTATACAATTTATCAGTACGTACTTGCTCTCGAATCATATTTTTGTAGTGAGTCACAATACTGTCATGCTGCTCTAGTGTTTTCTTCACCTCTTCTTCTTGTTTATCTTCTTCACTGGACTTATAAATAGCCTTAGTTATCACACCTGTAAAAGAAGACTTATGTAAAATACTGTATTATTATTAAGACTTAGTAAAAACATATGGCCTAACTGCATGAGAGATAAGAAATCATCTTTCCAATCTTACTGAATGCCGTAAGTCCTTAAGTGGGCCACAGATCAAGAGCTAGGAAAAAAAATACTTTTAGGCTTATCATATAATCTGCATGTATCCAGAAGATACATATGCAACACAATCCTAGGTACTACTTTCTAATGAATATCAAGATGAACTTTGTTGTCTTACCTTCAAGTTCTTTTACCAGCTTTGTAAATTCATGATCAAATATCATGTATTCTGGACTGGGGAAGTTTGGCTGGGGTTTCTGAGATGCTCTGGAATACAACTCATGTTTGCTAATAAATCCTAGTTTCTCTATGAAATTCTCTTTGCCAATCCTCTTCTCTATCAGTTGTTTTAGTTTCTCTCTACAGAGATAAGCATATTGAGATGCTTAAAAAAAAAGTCATAACAAAACATAAAAGCTTGGTCTACATTATACTTTGGCAGAAAAAATTTATCATTATCTCTTGATGACATTAGCAAGTCATTTTCCCCTGGCATTTTCCCCTTACTTACTTCATATAGCTCTCAAGTGAGTTATCATTGAAGTAAATCGAAATGCCCAACAGAAGAGCACATAAGCCTTGGACCAACTGTTCTTCCTCTCCAAGATTTTCTGCAATTTGTCCTGTAAGCTGAAAACTTTGTTAAGAAAACTAATGGTTCATAATATCCAGAGTACTTTGTTTTACAATTTGAATTTGACATGTATTTCATGTAAGAGTTTCTACAAAAAATTCTATACACAGTCCGAGCAAACATAAAACAATGGTACACGTACACACACACACACACACACACATCCCACACACACACACAGCTTAAGTAAGCATCGTTGTCACCTTAACAGTTTAAAAAGTTGTTACATAGATAAAGAGGATTCAAATATTTGGGGCATAGAGCTAACTCTAGTTGAGAAGAAGAAACAGAAAAGATAAAAAAGGTAAATACTTACATGCATCTTACTAAAACATAAAGGATACAAAGGGAACATTGGCTGAATTGTGAAGAAAATGTGTTACGGCAATGGGGCAGTTGCTAAGCCAGGTACAAAGCAACATTAGTAACCCAACTCTTGTCTGTATTTTGCTTCCCTGCAATAAACAAGGTGGCAGAAATCTTTTTTTATTTTTTTCAAACTTAAAGTTGCCCTAAGATCCCTCCCAATCTGCATAAAAAGATATTTAACATCTTATAAAAGATGTGTCAGGTATCTCTGGATTTTAAAAATTGAACAAGAGAATGCATTCTTGTATACTCTTTGGGCTGCACTTCCCAAAATAAACAGCAGAAATTAGACTTGATCCACACTCATAAGCATATACCAGGTTATCTAAAATACTATTAATGGAAAATCTGATAGGCTAAGGAAGAAATATATGATGTGGATGCTTAAAAAATTTTATCAGTCCTAAAACACTTTACAAAAACATAAATTTGCTGGCAAATTTATGATGTTTCAATAGGAAATTTAAGAACAATTTTCTCATAAAAGGACAAATTCTACCTCCTTCAAAAAACATCAAGAAAAATACAAAGAAATAATCTCCTGAATTATTTAGTCAAATTTCATTAATGAATATATTTCTCTAACAAGAAAATAACTAAACCATGTTACAAACCCCCTGAGAAATGCCAAATAATGAGAAATCACAAACTTGATGGAGAAAAAGATTTATTTAAATTAGCTAAGTGCCTCAAACCACTAACTATACTGCTGCCAAGTATGTTAAACGATACTGAAAACTAGCATGTCCATCAACATTAATTTCCTAAATTTTAATACAACACATTTGTATCTCTTATATGAGATATTCTCTTAGCTCATAATATTGCCATTGCCCACATTATATTACATAACCTGTATTTTTGTTTAAGAAAAACAAAACTTGCATGAAACAAAATAATGGAAATTAGCACAGTAATGCATCACTCTGGGAGTAATTTCAGAAAATATCCAAAATGCAATTATTCAAAAATCCAGACAAGGAATGGATTTAAAGTAACCATTTCTGTGTTTTGAAAAATTTCTATCACTCAGCCAGACAGTTCTAATTTCATGAACCGTGATGTCAGTATCTTGAACTTTCCATAATCTTTTTTCAAGTATATTTTTTAATGAAACAAATTCAAATTAGACCTCTTCAAATGATTTGCCAAGTAAGCATTAATCAGCATGAATTTAATTTTTATATAAGGCATTATTTTTACTTTTTCCTTGCCTTTATGTCATTACTGTCCACAATATATTTTCATGTTACCCAAGTACACTGAAGTTTAAAAATATAGTTATTCTCAACTGACTATGTGCCACAGAGAATTTACAAGTAATTACTCAAGTTATAAATGTGAATGTTTTGTTGATTTCCCCTGGTTATACATAAAAAGTTTATTACTGGAATACCATTTGCAGGTACCAAATATACCGACATTGTATATACAAGGGCATTCTATCAAATCACTGGCTGATGTCTGAGTAAACAAAAATGGAATTAGATTCAATTTTGAAAAGTAGGTCATTTGGGGTCTAACTGAAGGTTAAGAAGAGCACAGTCAAACATAACTAGTTAGAACCAGGCAGAAGATAGAATGGAACACCCTGTTAACTACAGCAACAAAAGAAGATAAAGTACTCAGGAATGAGCCTAATCAAAACTGTATAAAACCTAAATGAGGAAAGTTTAAAAACACTTCTAAGAGCACAAAAGCAGACACAAATCAACAGAAAGACACATGTTCTTAGAGAGAACGACTCAAGATCATGAAGATATTGACTCTACATTAATTTGTAAAATTAATGTGATCCAAATAAAAATATCAACAGGTTTTCTGTTTTTTTTCCTAGAACGAAACAACCTGGTTTTCAAGTTCAAATGGAAAAATAAACAAGCAAGAATAACTAGAGAAACTGTAAAAAAATGAAAGAGAGCAATGAGGTGATACTACCTCATGAACAGACAGAAATCAAGGAGCAGAATGGAAAGTCCAAAATGATCCAGCTTCAAATGGAAATTTAGTATGTAAAAAAGACAGAATATAACTATCAGTGGTTACAGACAGACTTCAAAGATGTTGGCAAAACTAGAGAGCAGTTCAAAAAAGCAGAGGATCCATATCTCACACAATTCAGAGAAAAAGAGAACAAAGATTTAAGTGCAAAAATGAAACCAGAAAGTATGAGATGGAAATACTGGCAAATTCCTTAACATCTTGAAGTGGCGAAAGCCTACGTATGACTTAAAATGTAGAAGCGATAAAATAAAAGTCTGATACCAAAAAAAAAAAAAAAAATCCAAAGCAAAACACCAAGATCCTATCAGGAAAAATATATTTGTAACTTATCACAGACAAGGGTTAAGTTCCTTAATATGAGTTCCTATAAAGAAGAAATGATCAACAACCCGATAGAAAAATGGGCAGATGATAAAAGAGTTTAATGAAAAAACCTTCAAATGATGCATAAATATATAGAAAACTATTCAGCCTTTTAGTAAGAAAAATATAAATTAAAACTCACTAAGATAACATTTTCCACCTATCAGCAGACTGGCAAAAGTACAAGTGTGACAACACACTGTTGGGAGGCTGTGGGGGAAGAGAGCACCTAGCACACCGTAATCTTACTTTACTTTGCAAGGAGCAGTGCAAGGTTCTATTAAGTGAAACAAAACAAAACGAAACACCAAGGTGCAGATCAGGGCATATACGGAAAAAACACTTCCAGATGTAGAAGAAAAGAGTAACAGGAGGCGGGGAACTAGGACAGGGTTGGGGCCAAGACTTCGTGTATCATTTTGATTTCTAAACCATGTATTTATCCATTTCAAATTTAAAGGACTAAAGTTTTAATTCTAAGAGTGGCAGTATATGGTGTCGGTGAAAATGACATTTGGTGTGGAATTAGAAGAACCAAATCTTCTACTGCCTTACCTTGGACAAGTTCAATACGCTACATGGGCCTCAACTTCTTCATTTAGTAAACAGAGGTGGTTGGATTAAATGATCTCAAAGAGGTTAAGAAGACAGGCTCTGAAGCCAGGATACCAGGATTCATATCCTGGTTCTAAAACTCAACAGCCATGAAACCTCAGGCAACTTACTTAACTTCTCTTCCTCATCCTTAAACAGGGGTAACAGTTAATACCTATCTCATGGATTATAAATGGGTTAATACATGTAAAGAACTTAGAAGCAGCGCATGGTACACAGTGAGTGCTCTACAAATGTTATCAACTATTACCATCATTTCTAACTCTGTGACTCTACAACTCTCTACCTACTAGCATATTAAAAGCAGAACTAATGCCCCCAATTTAAAATAGATGGCAGAAGTTTGAACTGGGAAAAGGAAAAAAAAACCGATACAATTGCTGGGATAATTGTTTTTTAAACATCAGTGAAATGCAGGCAAGTCCTTGCTTTGCTGTGTTAACAGAAATCCATGCATACTGTAAACGTGCAAAGTGAGTACTTTGTAATAATGGTCTTTTGTGCAGACTACGTTATTCTGATGTTCATCAAACCATGATTTATAACAGGGAAAAATGGAAGATAATTAAATGTGCAATTAAATTTAATTAAAAGATAATTAAATGTGCAATTAACTAACTTAGGGTATATCTACTTAGTGAAATATATACTGTGCAACCATATAAAGTGATGTTGACTTAGTGTTTAATAACATGGAAAATACTTGTAAGAAAAAATGCAGAATACAAAATAGAATCTAATGCATGATCACTACTATGTAAATAAACAGTATAGGGGCAAAAAAAAGCCTGAAATTTTACCAGTAGTTACCTTTGGGTAGTAGAATGAGGGACATTATTCTCTTTCTACTTTCTATTTTTCGAAATTTTCCAAAATGAAAAGAAAAATAAACTGTTAGAGAGTACAAAAATGTTACAGTATTTGTCCAGTATACTATCATAAAATGTTGATAATAATATAAATCCAACAAAATCCTGATCAAATTGCTCTACCCCGCCAAACAAGTAAAATTAGAAATTGAGGGCTTCCCTGGTGGCGCAGTGGTTGAGAGTCCGCCTGCAGATGCAGGGGACACGGGTTCGTGCCCCGGTTCGGGAAGATCCCACGTGCCGCGGAGTGGCTGGGCCCGTGAGCTGTGGCCGCTGAGCATGCGCGTCCGGAGCCTGTGCTCCGCAACAGGAGAGGCCAAAACAGTGAGAGGCCCACGTACCACAAAAAAAAAAAAAGAAATTGAGCAATAAAAGCTATCAAAACATTCTATTTCAGTGCTCTCTCATTTTCTGATGGATTTCTTACAATATAAACAGCTAGACCAGCTAAAAGAATGCCATACTTGGGAATTCCCTGGTGGTCCAATGGTTAGGACTCCACGCTTCCACTGCAGGGGGCACAGATTTGATCCCTGGTTGGGGAACTAAGATCTCACAAGCCATGGAGCGTGGCCAAAAAAAAAAAAAAAAAGGCTGAAACTATTCATTTTGTTTATGTGTTACACAAGCACATTTGGTTGCATGTTTGTTTACAGGTTTAAGTCAAGAAAAAATACCTATCTCTTCTCAGCCCCTTAGAGTCTGTGAACCGCTGACAAAACCAAAGATTTTATAGGATGGAAGAGAACCACAGACAAAATAAACAATCCTGAATCACCTTTAACATAAGCTACTATGTTGCCCCAATTATATTTTCTAAATAAAAATCCCTCATACTCCTACTCTGTGGATTTCAAGTTTAGTATCTGTGCATTGTTCATTTAAATAATATGAAAAGCTAACAGTTTAAACTTCCAGTGTTTAAGTATTAAAATGAGGTTCTAGAATATAATGATCAGATTCACTTTTTTGTGTTTTTTTTTGCGGTACGCGGGCCTCTCACTGTTGTGGCCTCTCCTGCTGCGGATCACAGGCTCCGGACATGCAGGCTCAGCGGCCATGGCTCATGGGCCCAGCCGCTCCACGGCATGTGGGATCCTCCCAGACGGGGGCACGAACCCGTGTCCCCTGCATCGGTAGGCGGACTCTCAACCACTGCGCCACCAGGGAAGCCCTCAGATTCACTTTTTAGTGGTGGCCTCTGAGGACAGATAATTAATAGGAAAGGGACATGATGGAACTTTTTGGGTTTCTGAATACTATGCTCTATATCTTGTTTTGGGTGGTGGTTACCGAAGTATATTCAACCATCAAAAATCATCAGATTGAACACTTAAGGTCTGTGCATCTTACTGTATATAAATTATACCTCCAAAAATTTCCCTTTTAAATGAATGACATGTATACTTATAAAGTACTTTACCTAATATAAAAAAATTCTGCCAGCTAAAGCTGCCAAATATGTCTGTGTGTGTTATTAACATGTGTTAAATCATGCTCATACAATTCCTAATAGGACCTCAGTTATTACTATACACACTGCATAATTGAACACAAATTATGAATACAAATTCCAAGTATGGAATTAAGGTACATGCCATTTTTGCCAAATACTCCAGAAAACAAATCAAAACCAAACACAAATCACACTCTCCCCCAACACGCATCAAAAACTAATCCTCAATGGTAGTGTAGCATATGGGTTACATCCAGAATAATTCAAGAGATTTAAACTCTTTCAAATTACAAAATTATACTTACTATTGTATATTTTCAAAAACCTAAGTAATATAAAAGTCATCACATTCTTTCATATACTGATTAAAGACAAAATTCTTAATCCTAAATTTTACTACCTTTGAACTGGTTTCATTGGAAATAAAGAAGCAAGCTTGGTTGAAAAATCACACCAAAAACCCAAAACCAAGGAATTCCAGAAAGTGCAAGCATCCCCAGAGGAAGCACAAGTATAGCTTCAGATTCCCATTCCTACAGTCCTTAATAACACCACTATAATACCCCATGGAGAAAAACTGGGGAGCCACGATAGAGATTAACTTGCTGACACATACAAGTGTGAGTAGAATATAACTTCAAACAAGCAGTTAAAAAAACCAATCAGCAAAACCCAAGACAAAGAAAAAGGCTTGCTGTAGGAGGAAAATGCCTAAGCCCAAACAAGTAATACATACCCGTCGGTCGATCTTATCACCCTGCAAATTATACATTAAAAATTATTCATAAATATTACTGCTTTAGAGAAATGTAAATCTAGAAAAATCCCTCAAGTACAGTCTCTAGAAACCCAAGCCAATAATCTGGGACAGGATAGTTCTAATCTTTTATTATATAAAAATGTATATACATTTTAGAGGAGAATGGATAATTTTATAGTGCTGTCATTACTTAGACTGGTAGCACACCACTATCTTGAGGATTTCTCATTATGCATTAATTGTAATTGCAATGTTAGAGTGAAGTATGTGGTGATGACTGTTGGGCAGTTAATTTCTGTTTTGCTCAAGAAAAGCTGTTACACACTACTATATATAAAATAGATAACTAATAAGGACCTACTGTATAGCACAGGGAACTCTACTCAGTACTCTGTAATGGTCTATATGGGAAAAGAATCTAATAAAGAATGGATATATGTATAACTGTTTCACTTTGCTGTACATGTGAAACTAACACAACATTATAAATCAACTATACTCCAATAAAAAATTAAGAAAAAAAAAAGAAATGAATAGCTGTTTCCACACACAGCAAGAAGAGAATGACAAGTATTAAATAAGTAAGGATATGAATGCTTTGGGGTACTTTTAAAAAATCACGAAGAGACAAATGATAAAGATAAAATAGGCTCTCAGTCAAAGTAAACCTGTTCTAAGCAACAAAGGAAGTGTTCAACTCCCATTTCAGTACAGTTAATTTTCAAGGTTTCATTTGTAACTTCATATGGATAGCACTGATGTTTCTAAAAGCTCACAATAAAACAATTCAACCAGTGTGGCAAAATTAAGAACTAAGAAGGACTCCGCATATCAGGGGGAAGGGATTAGGATAATACCAGTGGATGGATCAATTTTAGCCTTATGTACATTCTTACTCTCCTTGAGTGAATCTGAATGTCTATGACTTTACAGTTTTGCTAAAGCATGAACCTGAATTGTTTAACAGCAAGGCTGGCACATGTGGGTAAACCATCTAATAATAGTAAGGGACATTCCTAAATGCCCTAGCATCCACATTTCAATGAAGCTTAGCTGCTTTCATTAGGAGTCTAAAGGAATGTAAACATTTTAAGTTGTTTACCTACATCTTACTAGGTAAATTATATGTCTTGGCATTTTGAGGATTTGAGAGCTCACAAACATCAAGGGGGTTTACTGTTTAACTATATAAGCATTGGAATGGTATTTTATTTTTGTTTTTTGAAAGGAAGATCAATTGCTCTGGGAAGAGAAAGAGCGAGGTGCACAGCTATGAACCACTCTATTCTATTCCCTCTCATAAATGACCCGAATTCAGCTATTAAGCAGAAACAGAAAATGACATGCAAGAACTGTGTGTGGATGATATAAAAAGAAAACAAATCCAAAAAAACCACCTTTCTGTCCAGAACATGTGTTCCCATCATGATGCAGACCTTATTCACAATTTGGCAAAACCATTCTTATAAGAATATTTATTGCTTTCTCTCCACAAAACCATTTCTGGTGACAATGAGCTAATGAGCAGTCCTTGCCTCTCTCCTTTTTCATCTACATCTACTAAGGACATCCTTAAATCTTTGTATCACTGACATCAAAGTGAAACTTTCTCCCCCCCCAATTAGAGAAGTTTTGCTGGCTACTTTACCTGTGAAAGGATGTTGGTGCACTGTTGCAATAAAGAAACTGGAGGGTTGCCAATACTTGTAGCAAGTTGAACCCTGAGCAATTGTTCTTTCTGGGTAGCATTTTCTTGCAAAGCATGGGCAAGGGCCACAGCAGCACACCAGTTTGAAAGTGAATCAGTAGAAAATAAACCTCCGCATAACAACTGACCAGCTGAGACTGAATTACCTGTTGCTACAAAGATGGCAGGCAGATAATAAGGTAAAAATTAATTATGTTGCTTTCCAAACACACAAAAATAGTATGAAATGCTACTTAAAAATTTGTTAATTAGTAGTATTAAGTACAACTTTCAAAAGTCTGATTTTTCAAAAACAAATGCAAAGATGACAAAAAAGTACTTCGGAAGAAAAGTTGCAGAACAAAGAAATATTAGAATACTTTAGGCATCAAACTGATGATGGTAATACTCCAGAAATTATTACCTTAATTAAAAACTACATTTCTAAAACAAATTCAAGGAAATGCAATATTTTAAATGTTCTATTACATCCTAATATTCTACATTTAAATATCTACTACACATTTATGATATATTTTACCATTAAAAGCTTAAAAGACAATTACTTACTTTAAAACTGAAATTAGAATTAAATTATTTACGGGACTTCCCTGGCGGCGCAGTGGACAGGACTCTGTGCTCCCAGCTCAGAGGGCCTGGGTTCGATCCCTGATCAGGGAACTAGATCCCACCTGGATGCTGCAACTAAGGGGCCCGCCTGCTGCAACTAAGACCCGGGGCAACCAAATAAATATTAAAAAAAAAAAGAATTAAATTATTTACCATCAATAGTGGAAGGCAGAAGTGTTGACACAATTTCTCCTTGTCCTTTCTGATTTTTATATAAGAAACACTGGAAACAGTAGAGAACAGCACAGCGCAATACAAATGGCTGCCTTTCGTTAACCATGGACATAAGAAGTACTACAATGGCTGGTCTGTTGCATTTAAAAAGAAAAGAACAAAAAGAAACATTGCAATCCAGGTACACAAATCAATAACTAGTCATTTTTATTGACTCAAAAACCATAGCCAGAACACAAGCAAGTAACTATTTTCATCTCCATTTCACAGAAAAGATAACTGCAGCTGTGAGAAATGAAGTGATCTGTTTGCTTAAGGCACATAGCTAAGAAGTGATACCTGAGCCCAAATACATAAGTTCCAAAGACCACAAACTCTTTAAATACCAACATATTTATCTTGTCAGATAATTTGTTTCAAAACACATGTCTGAACTTCTTAAAACAATAAGATATGTATATGAGATATCCTAAATCTCAAAGTAAGTTTTCACTTCCTCTGTGGGATCTCAGTATTTCCCCTTTCCTACCTTGGTGGGTTTGAAGGTGCATTTACAGAAGCAAAGTAGTCTTGGTTTACTTGATAGCCTCGAATAACTTCTGATACAGTATTAATGGTCTGTAATGAATCGGGATGGGGAGAGAATTTAGAGAAAGTCAGTCAAGGGAAAAACCCTGTTTTCAAAAGATGAAAATGTTATATTCTTTTGCTTTTTGCTTTTAAATGGCAAAACTTAGACACCAAAAAAAATCAGTGACAGCATTATAGACTTGTAACACTTTCTTGAGATAACATTTTAAAACATTAAGCGTAGGCCTCTAACTAAAAATAACACGTGACCCCATGCATTTAAAATCTCAAAAAACTAAAATTAATATCTCCTAAGAGATAGAATCCATTTCTATGAAACAAGAAAAGGGTGCTTAAAAATAAAATCAGAGAACAAATTTAAAACGTAACAAATTAAAAATTCAATTTAAGGATGAAGTTGAAAAAAAACCTCCAAGAAAACAGAATAAAAAGACAAACTGGACCCAGAAAGTCCAACAATCTATTAATAGAGTTGCAGAAACAGAAAAGAGGAAATGGTCAAGGAATACGTAAAACATCCTCAGAACTGAAGTACTTATGTCTCTGGCTTGAAAGGGCCCCAAAATTATTGGGGGTGGGCGTGGGGTGTGTGGTACAGCACATCACCAGTAAATTTCAGGAAACCAAAAACAAAGAAAGATTCTAGAGAGAGAAAGCAGGTTACACAAAAAGGATGAAGATTCAAAATGGCTTTGGATTTCTTAACAGCAACACTGGAATAATGTTCTAAAAGTTGAGTGTTAATGATTTCCAATTCTGAATTCCATACCTAACCAAACATTAGAGTCATACTGCAGGTGGAGGAATGATATGAAAGAGCTAAAAACAAATTATCTTGCCATTTGCCCTCTCTCAGGAAGTAAAATAAGATAATGAACCAAGGGATGGGAGAAAAAGACACAGAATCCAGATAACCAAGGAATCCCTAAGTTAAGAGAGAGGAAAAAGGATCGTTGGAGGATGGTGAATGAAAGTCCCAGAATAAGAGATGTGTGGCAGAAATAGAGAATAAGCAGCCCATATTTGAGTAGGAAGATGGAGGGCTTCCGGAAGAAGGTCTGGAATGCGGAACAATGTGTTAACACATTAACACATATAACAGTGTTAATATGTATAGATACATAGAAAATCCGTAAAATGAAAAAAGAATACTATTATAACTCAGGAAAGAAAAAGGGTTATTAAAAAAAAGATATAGAGCTCTATGTGGCTTAGCAGGAAACAGTATTGGAATAGTCATAAAACTATAAACCCTGATTATTGATTTAAATACAAATTACTGGGGTGACAAGGAGGAAGTAAAGTGGGAAGGTTATATAGGGAGGAAGTGGGGCTTAGGGTAGGGAGAAGGGAGTCCAAAGACAGTTTTTGCTATAAAACTTTTACTATTATCTGTGCTTTTAATATGCATGTGTTAATTTGAGAAAAAAAATTAAATAAACTAAACCTTTCTTTTCTTCAAACTAACTTCTTTTTCTTAATAGGCAGGAAACAGAAAATGTCATATGTCAAGGAAAAAGAATTTATTATTCTACGAATAAGACTCAAATCTTACTTGACTAAGTCATACTCTTCTCAAAATTAAAAACATAAATCATACTGTTCACTCCTGC